TAATAGTAGTAAAGCAGTTGGTCAAAAACATTCCCTCCCCCCCCTTCAAATGATCATATCTCGGCTCTCAGGTGTCCGAGAAATGTGATTCTTTTTTAGAAATGTGTGAAATTTTAAGAGCTTTTTGATGATATACAATTTATTTTGATTCTAAAAGTTTAAAAAGATGAAAAAAGCGAAAATTGGAAATTCTGTCTTTTTTTCGCAGTTTCTGCTCTCTTCAAATGGCCATCTCAAAGTCCATCAAAATTCCCCAGAGACCAGCTAGACACTTTCAACTCCTTTCTATTTTTTTTTATGGTCTACATTTTTTCATTATGGACTAGAAACCCAAATTTTGGATTTTAGGCCATTCCAGACTCTGCAATCCAGAGGATATAACTCTGATTTTTGAATTTTAAACCGAAACAAAAAAAAAGAAGGAAAATCCACACTTCTATATTGTCTCAATTGCCCTGGGAAATTCAATTATCCTTCTTCTTTTTTTTTTCAAGACTTCTGAATTTCCACATCATCAGAAATCAGAAGAAAGAAATAGACAACGTCATCTGAGAAGTATCCATTGTCCACTCTCTGTTGATTCTATTTATTCATCCTTCTACTCAAAAAAGAAGAAGAAGAACGACTCGGGCCTCCACGTCTTCTAAAAATACGTCTTCTGGCTGGCCGGAGGGCAACTCCTCACCCCCGCCGCCGCCAGAATTGACGTCATATTTATATGCCAAAAAAAGTTTGATCCCTATTCTTTCTCTCCAAAAAAAAGTCAACACATCATCTAAATGGCACGACGTCTTCTGACTATTACTGATTCTGATGACATACTGTAGTCTACATCTTCTCTATTTTCCATTCGCGTGACTTTTTCTTGTTTCCGTTCCAAAGAAAAAGGGAATCTTGAATCTGAATATATTGAAGAGCTACAGAAATTGAAAAACAAAAAAAAAAGAGAAAAATGAAACGGAAAAAACGGAGAGTTCCAATGGAATATTCAATTAGGTCAATGTTCGCACGCCTACTGGTGATGTCACGTCGTCTGGAGCCAGATTTTTTGAAGTAGAAAAAGCAAAAAAGTTGTGAGAGCCACTTGAAATTAGTCTGGCCTGGGATTTCCGAGACACTAATTTTCAATTTTTTTTTTGATTTTTTCAACTTCTTCAATATCCAGAATCTTATTAATTTGGATATTATCAGAAATCTCTTGAAATTCCACACATTTCTAAAAAAGAATCACGATTATCGGATTCCTGTGAGTCGAGATATGGGTGTTTGAAGTTTTTGAAATTAGAGACGCAGACAGTTAGAGTCTCTCTTCGTCTGCGTCTCACTTCCCTTGCTCATTTCTTCTTCAAATGCTCATATCTCGGCTCCCAGGGGTCCGAGAAATGTGATTCTTATATAGAAAAAATGTGCAATTTCAACCGACCAAATTTGTGCATGAATACTAATTTTCTTTGCCCAATTTTTGCTGAAAATGGTTGAAAATGACACCCAAATTGACTCAAATTGAGTCGCCAAGTTTGGCTATAAATAGAAATATAAGGCTTACAAAGAGTTTTTGTGATTTTCTAATTTATAGAAGGACATGATATCCATGAAATGTTAAAATTTTCGGAGACCTAGAAATTTCAAAATTTCAAAAACTAGTCCATGACTTCCAGACCCATGTCATTTTGATATTTCATCTGTCACTCTCTCTTGTTATTTTTTTTAATCTGCTCAAATTGCTCCAATCCGAGACAATTCGTGATTTTCAAGATTTTCAACACAAACAAGGGCTCCAAAGCTTAGAATTATCACTTTGAAAACTCCTTTTCCTTCTTTACTCCTCCTCAAAACATGACGAATACCGCCCATTTGCTCAGCTGATGGCGAAGACGTAGAAGGCGAGAAATAGTGTCTATAATGAGGAGACGCAGGGTTTCTGGAGTGACGTCAGATTTTCAGAAGGAGTGAACACGAAAAAAGACACAACAAAGAGACGGGGGTGATTTTGAGTGTAGAGTACTAGTACTGGCTATTTTCATAGGAAAAGAAGAAGAAGGATTTTGAAACTTGTCAATTTAAAAGAAGATATGGAAAATTTGGAGGAAGAAGAAGAAGAATACGTGGAAGTGGAGGACGTAATTATGATGAAAGAGGAGAAGATGGATTCAGATGAGAGGGGTGACGCATGGCGAGCAGCCCTTCTATATATTTTCGTAATGAAAGTGCAAATATAATTTATTTCGAATTGGGGTTTGATCATGAAATGGAAATGACATTTTTGCACCTTTGAACTTATTTTTTTAATTGAGAAGGAGTGATTTTGACAATATAAACTTTGAGATTTTGAAAAGGACCACTAGAAGCCGAGACACGCAGACAGTTAGAGTCTCTCTTCGTCTGCGCCTCACTTCCCCTTCAAATGCCCATATCTCAGCTCCCAGTGCCCCGAGAAACGTGATTCTTTTTTAGAAATGTGTGAAATTTCAAGAGCTTTCTGATGATGTATGATTTATTAAGATTCTGAATATTGAAAAAGATGAAAATCCAAATAAATTGGACGATCCTGTCTAGGAGTGTCAAAGTTTGCATTTCGATACTTTCGAAAAGTCGACAATTAAATATTTCAATATTCAAAGAAATCAAAATTCTGAAATTCTGAAATTTTTGAAATTCTGAAATTCTGAAATTCTGAAATTCATATACTCTGAAATTCTGAAATTCTGAAGTTCTGAAGTTTTGGAAAATCAGAAATTCGAAAATTCGAAAAATCTGAAATTTTAATGTCAAAAATTCGAAAAATCAAAAATTCAAAAGTTGGAAAATTGAAATTTTCAAATTTCTAGTCTTCAAATCCCCCAAAGAATTCTTTGATCTTTCCCCATTTTCCAAACCTAATTCTCATTCTTTCCCTGCTCCTCTCCAAAAGTAAAAATTCTGAACTTTTTCTTAATTAGGACCACCAAAACATTCTATTTTTACCCCACCCATCACTACTACTATTCTGAATCATCAGCTGCTCATTTACTCTCTGCTCCGTTGGTTCTTTTTTTACTGAATCATATATCTGAACACATATCACATAACCCTCGAATGATAATCGTTACTGAATAACAACTTATTTCCACCTGAAGACACTTTTTTCGGAAGTGCGTCGTGCGCCTTTAATCTGATGATCTTTCTCGATGTTTGGTTCTAGAATAGAACCACTTTTCCAAAGTCAGCTGACATAGATTATTCCAAATTTGAAACTCCTTGGGGTGGGAAGAAAAATAGAAAAAAGTGAAACCTGATATAGTTTGGGGAGCCCTTTGTATGAATGCAATCATAATGCATAATGCACATGTCATTTTTAAAAAAGGAGCGCAAAAAGAAGAATGTTGTATATGAGGCTGTTGTATATGAGGGAGGGATTAGAAGTGACGATGATGATGTGATCGGTTTTCTGCTCGTTCAAACTTCAAGAATCTGTTGAGTAAAGAGTTGGCTTCTCAGGAATCGAGCTCAATTATCTCGGTTCTTTTGAAAGATATCAAAAAGTAGTCAACTGATAAAATATTGGTGATATTATGATAAACATTTTAATAGTTGACAACTTTTTGATATATTCTACAAAAAAATGAGGTATATAGGCTAAAAGCTGACAAGTCGGCGCTTGCCGGCAGAGCTACTCTGTCGGCTACCGATCTCTGAAGTTTAAGCTTAATTATCTCGGTTCTTTTAAAAGATATCAGAAAATGCTCAACTAATAAAATATTGGTGATATTATGATAAATATTTTAATAGTTTACAACGTTTTGATATCTTTTATGGGAATCGAGATATACAGTCTCAAAGGTAACAAGTCGGCCCTTGGCGGCTAACATTCTCTCAACTTTTAGCTCAATTATCTCAGTTCCTTCACGAGCTATTGAAAAGTGGTCAACAAATAAAATAGAAATAGTTTTATGATTAATAATTTATTAATTTATCACTTTTTGATATCTCTGATCGGAACTGAGATAATTGAGCTCAAAGTGAACGAATATGTTGGGCTTCTATTACAGTGTTTATGGCAATCAAACGAGGATAAAAGCGTTCTTTTTTTTCATTAAAACACAAAAAAATTCTCAAAAAAAAGTCTGATCCCATTTCTTGTCTAGAGTCATCTAATCTCTCATTCATGCGGTCTCTATTTTTTCCTCTTCTCCATAGTCTCTCTTCGATAACAATACAACCGGAATTGATGCTCATCTAGGAACAAGGCTTTATTCCGAAACCAGGCACTCCCCTCTAGTTTTATTTTCGCAGCCAGATCTCGTACACAGAAAAGAGGAAAGAGATTCAGATGAGAAGAGAGAAGGCTCACTGAATTAGATTAAAAGCATTTTGTGTGAGGGAGAGCGACGTCGTCCGGCTGCTTTAAAATGCTTATTACGATTGAAGGGCATTCAAAAGGGGAAGCATGAAATGGAGCAGGTGAACTTTTAAAAGGGAAAATGGGATAAGAGCCAAAATTTATGAGTTCAAGTTCAAGAGAATCTTTCCGAAGTGATGACTTATTGCCATGCGGCGGCCGAGTTCGCACCATGTTATCTAACGAAAAGCCACCGGGATTTCTAGGTGACCACTTGGCGTAGTGGCTGCGCTTTTGCCTTTCACCCACACCACCGGGGTTCGATTCCTACTCCAGTAAAATCTTTTGCTTCTTTTCCTGAATGAGCTAAGACCACGCACTTCCTTCCTATTACGCATTTTAGCTCCCCTTCCTTCCTAGCAGGTGATATTAAGAGGCTTGAGGTTGACATTAACATGCAAGGGGAAAATAAAATGAGAATCCGGGACTCAATTAATTGTATTCAACTCTCAATCTTTCAGGATGCAACCTTAGCGATAATTTATGCGACAATGACGAATCGTGTTATCCGGACGGCGTGTTCGGACAGTGCTTCTCACCGGAGAGCGGATCACCGGAACCCACTGTCCTCGACAATCTAGATGACACTCAACTGGAATTGCTGAAACTGGAGCTGACGAGACTGGCATCAAAGGATCGGGATTGGGGAGATGAGGAGACGCAGTGTGTGCTCGCCTATTTCAAAATGTCCATGTTCTATCAGCTACAGTACGATCCGGACTTCTGTCAAGTCAGAAAGCCAGCTAATGTTTGGGCATTGATCCAGTTGATTGACACGGGGTTGTCTGAAGATCCATCGCTTTTGGATGAAGAGGCAGCGCAACCGGAGAATGTGACTGATGAGGATATGGCTCAGATTATTGAACAACTCAAGGAACCATCATTGCCAACAGAAGAAGACATCGAGGGTGAGAAATGAGACACTGAAAAATGCTTGAAAACGGGCCCTGGCGGGCCCCGGATCAATATTTTCAGGTCAACTGAAAGGGTGCATGATAGAACTCAACAAGCACTACAAAATAAAACTGTTTGTAAAACTGTATCTTGTCTATGGACAACGTTACAAGGCCTAAAGCTGCAAATCGGGGACAGACGGGCCCCTGGCCGTTTGGTCTGTAACTTTGTTCACAGACACGATACAGTGTCCCAAATAGTTTCATTTTGTAGTGCTCGTAGAGTTCTATCATATCTAACTTAGTTGGTCAAAAAAATTGATCCTAAAAGAAACTAGGGATGTTCTGAACTGCGTTCGGAATTTCCGAAATTCCGAAATTTTGAAAAATCCGAAAAGGGCATTCCGAACATCCTTGTCCGCCAGGGCCCGTTTTGAGCTTGTTTTGGACCATTTTTCAAGTATGCACTAAACAACATTTCAGAAGCCCTGAACGCTGAGAATGAAGACGTGGATGACGAGATTCTGGATCAATACGTCCAGGCTGTTGTGAACAATGAGAATCCGGATTTCTCGGAACTGTCGGATGGTCAACTGAACAGTTTGATTGAAAGACTTGTGGATTTGAAGAAGAATGTTGAGAATGAGGAGAACCAGCTGTTGCCTGGAAACGGAGAACAAGAAATGGCGGTTCCCTTGGATGATTTGGAGGAGAGAGGAGAGCAAGCGATTCTGAAAAAGGATATTGAGCAAGTTGGAGAGGTAAATCAAGGATTGGACAATACGGAACACAAGATTGTCAAAGGAAGAAAAGATCAAGTGGTGACACGTGTTGATGCCAATCGAGTCTATTTGAAGGTCCACCTGAAGAATGAAGATCAATTGATGCCATTGATTGAGTTCCTTCAGAATACTATCGCCATTCCGAACAACCTCTATTTTGATGATTTCCAGTAAGTCTCTATTTTTATATTTTCTTTCAAAACCTAAAAAAAACAAATCGTATATTTTTCAGATTCGATAATGGGCAGTTATCCATGCGAATCTCGCGATTCGAAGGAGCAAAACCGAAAGCCGAGAAGCGGATTGATTCTGTTGAAGGTGTCGCGTCGGCTGTTTGTACGTTTTTTGTCTTGTTTACACCTTCTGCCATATATATGAATATATAATTTAGTCAATTCCAGACAAACGACGAAAGGATATTGCTCGCTTGTCGGGAGCCGATGTTCGGGAGACAGGAATTGGAAGTGGAGAGGTATGAGGGGATTTTAAAAATATGAAAAAAGCGTTGGGAATCGAACCCGGGCCGCCCGCGTGGCAGGCGAGCATTCTACCACTGAACAACCGATGCGCCGAGGAGGAAAGAGAAGAAGGAGAACATTTTCGCGCGAAAAACAAACAAACATGAAATAGATAGCTGTTCACGCAACAACAAGTTATCCTCATTGAACAGCCTTCCTTGTCGCATCGGTGGTTCAGTGGTAGAATGCTCGCCTGCCACGCGGGCGGCCCGGGTTCGATTCCCGGTCGATGCAATTCTTTTTTGATTTCTTTGCACATCGACATTTTTAGGATGGAAGTCTTCCAGTTGAATCCTCGGAACGTGACTGGCTTCTGATGCCAGTTTTGTTCGTTTGCGCATTCACTGTCACTGCATTGGGACTTGTTGCCGCTGTTCAAATCGCCAGATCTCGTCGTCATTACAAGGATAACATCCAGCAAATCGCTGAGCAACTCGATGGAAAAACATCGTTCGCCTATCAGGATCTGTGCAGACAGAGAGCCGATGGAGGACGTGCTTCAAAGTCGAGCTCGACGTCTTCATGGTGTGAGGAAACTGCCGCTCCAACCATTGATATTTCCACTGGACATGTTGTTTTGGTAAGTTTGAAAATTGATTTTTTCAACTTTTTGATATCCTAGATCCTTTTCAGTCCATTTTGACCATTTTCAGGAGTCTGGTTGCCAAGTTTCCAATTGCTTTGAAAATTTTGGAGGGTGTAAAGCAGACCTAGATTAAAAACTTTGCATTTACAAAATTGTTTGAAAATTCCTAGTTTTTCAGCTATTTGCCGACACCCTTTTAGGCCCGTTTTGGCACCGAACAAGTGAAAAAAATGGGTCTTCTAAAAATCGGTGCATAGCTAGGAATTTTCGAAAAATTCTATGAATGCAAAGTTTTCAAAGTTTCCTGTTTTAGACCCTCTAAAATATTCAAAGTGAACAAAAAGCTCCTGACTCCTGAAAACGATCAAAAATCAATTGAAAAACATATTTTATTGACCAGTACTAAACAAGAAAATTCTAGAACTTCCTCCAAGAATATCTCTCGGAACCAACCAAGATCGAGGCTCAATGGAATGGTATCAAGGACTACCATAATGAGGAACGAACCAAGACCAAGGCTGAAAAGTTTGCCGCCCAGAACCGAACGATTCTTCCATGTAAGTTTGGCTGAAAATATTACTGAGAATAGATCCGGAAAGGTCACTCCCTTCCACTTGTTGACGTCAAGATTTATAGGAAAAAAGATGACGTCAGGTTCAGGAAATGTTATTATTTTATGTCTTTGTTTACAGTTGACGACAACATTGTTGATATCGACGGAAAGACTGCTGAAAATGAGGAGTTCTACTTGAATGCCAGCTTTATCTATGATGATGATCCAAGGTGATTTAGTTTTTGGGGTACTGTAGTTCAGAGAAAGTCAGAAAAGTGTGTTTTTTTTAAGTTTTACATAATATTTAAGCTGAAAACTTGAAAATATGGTACAACCGTAAAAACTGTGGGTCACGACACAGTCTAGTTTGAGCTAAAAATTTTGAATTAATTTATCTCGGCTGCTGTCAAAGATATCAAAAAGTGGTCAACTGATAAATTGTTTATCATATTGATACAAACATTTTATTAACTGACAATTTTTTGATATCTCTTACAGTAACCGAGATAAATTAGGCCAACGTTGACAAGTCGGTCTTTGTCAGCTGAGCTACGCTGTCTGTTGCTGACATCTTGACTTTGAGCTTCATTATCTCGATTCCTGTGAAAGATATCAAAAAATTGTCAACTGATAAAATAATGCTGATAATATGGTAACCATTTATTTAGTTAACGCATTTTCGATATCTCTCACAGTAACCGAGATAAATTATGTTGAAGTTGTCAGTGTCCTAGTATGATAAAAAAATAAAACCCTTGCAAAATGGCATTTTTTGGGGATTTGAAAAAAATAGGTCAAAAATTAAGATTATTCAAAAAATTTAAAATCAAAACTAATCTCAAATTTTGAGGGTAACAAGTTTTTGAGGCACAACTGAAGCTAAATAATCACTGATGATAACTAGCGAAAAGATATAACCACAGTGTGCCTACAGTAACCATAATAAAACACATTTTTTCAGACAAGCCGTCTACATCGCCTCCCAAACTCCAGCCAGCAACCAAGTCGCCGCATTCTGGCAAACAATCTGGCAACACGGAGTCTGCCTCGTCGTCAACCTGTCAACTCCAGAAGAATGCAAACAAGAAAAGAATTATTGGCCAGATACTGGAAGCGAAGTTCATGGAGCATTCGAAATTCATTTGGTTTCTGAGCACATTTGGTCCGACGACTACTTGGTCCGTTCATTCTACCTGAAGAATCTCCAGAATAGTCAAACAAGAACCATCACTCAATTCCATTATCTCTCATGGGCAAAGGATTCAACTCCAACCAGTGCTAAGAGCATTCTGGAATTCCGACGCAAGGTCAATAAATCGTATCGTGGACGCTCGTCGGCTGTTCTTGTTCATTCTTGGGATGGTTCTGGAAGAACTGGTGTCTATTGTGCTGTTGATGTTCTCTGTGCACGTCTTCTTCGTGGAATCCGTCAAATCGATGTCGTCGCAACTGTTGAGCATTTGAGAGATCAGAGAGATGGTGAGTCTAGAATTCTTTTTCGAGAAACTCCACTTCCTTATGTTCTCCCATTATTTTTGATTGACATCCTCATGACACTTTTTTCTTCCATTTGAATGAAAATTTTGGAGAAAAGGGATATCTGAAAAAGTGATAATCTGAATTCTGAAACTACAAATAATTCTGAATTTCGGATTTTTAGAAAATCCTGATTCCAAAAGAGATTCGGAAGGATTCTGAAACCGAAAATTACTTGGAGATTTCAAATACGGTAGTTTTAATGAAGCGGGCTAACTACAGTAATCCAAACTTTTTAATAAATTAAGTCATGTTTATATTTATTTGAAAGTTCTTGACAAGCCAAGTAAAATGTTACAAGTTTCATTGCTCTAGAATTACGGTAACTCAAGATACGGTAGTTTCATTGGATCAGGCTAACTACAGTAATCCAAACTTTTTTACAAATTAAGTCGTGTATATATTCATTTGAAAGCTCTTGACAAGGCGAGTTGAATGCTAACAATTTGATTTTTCTGAGATTACTCTAACTCGAGATACGATAGTTTTATTTTTTCAAATTTAGTCATGTTTATACTCGTTTTAAAGCTCAAATCATGGCAAGCACAAAAATTGAAATTTCACTCAAGTTGCATAGTTTTCAGCTAAGTTATAGTTTTTTTCTGATATTTTGGATTTTTACTAAATAACCAAAACCTCTCTGTTTTTCCAGGAATGGTTGCCACTGGAGATCAATTCAAACTTGTCTATGGATGTGTCGCCCAGGAAGTCAATCATCTTCTGAAGTCAATTGCCGCCCAATAAAAATTCGCCGCCGAAATCCCCCAATTTTTTTTGCATTCAACTTTGAAAACTTTTTAAAATTCCGAAAAAAGAGAGAGTCGTTTTGTATAATAACCACTGAAATTCACATTTTTTGTCTTCATATCCATTCTAATCCCCCAACCCCAGTTTAAATTTTCAAACAAAACATCAGTCGCCGCCCATTTCTTCCCCGCCCATTTTGATCTCTGAAAATAACAGTGATCTGAAATCGAAATCTTATGAAAATGCCCCCCTATTGAAGAAGAAGATCCCCCCATGAATAAAAATTGTCGCATTGTTGTTTCTTTTTTTCGATGTTTTTAGAATCAGAGTCCGTAGTATGTAGTTAATTTTGTGGCCTAACTTTTGCAAAATGAGTTTTCTAGGCCACAGTGTTAAAATGACATGAAGAATTGATCTAGACCAAAAATATAAGAAACCATAGTTCTCGAAATTTCAAAACTTGGCCTAGATATATCAACATCTAGGCCAGGGTATTCTAACAATACTGTCCCGTTTTTCAGGTCATAGTGGCCTAGAAATCCAAATCTGCTGGCCTAGAAATCTCAATCTTTATTTTTGAAAAAAAGTCGTTCCAAAAACGATTGAGTTTGAGTGGCCTAAAAAGCAAATAAAATTTCTAGGTCGTCTTGAAAAGTTTGGATTTTACATTAGCCTAACTTTTGCAATTTGAATTTTCTAGGCCGCCATGGTAAACAGCCTAATAGTAGCCTGACATTCACCTGATGTGTTTTCTAGGCAAAACTCAACTTGCGAAAGTTAGGAAACCAAGTCAAAACGATCTAGGAATCACCAAATGAATATCAGGCCATTTCTAGACCATTTTGAAACGGTATCCTATCTTTTCAAGTTGAGTTTTCTAGGCCACCGTGGTAAACAGCCTAATAGTAGACTGACCTGATGTGTTTTCTAGGCTATTCCCCATGGTGGCTTGAAAAACTCAACTTGCGAAAGTTAGGCCACCAAGTTAAAATGGCCTAGAAAACCCACCTAATAAATATCAGGTCATTCCTAGACGAGTTTAGCATAGTCGCCTGACTTTTCCCATTTGAGTTTTCTCGTCCACCAGCCTAGTAATGGTGTGATATTCACCCGGTCTGCTTTCTAGGCCATCTCCCATGGTGGCCTATAAAACTCAACATGCGAAAGTTAGGCCACTATGCCAAAATGGCCTAGAAACCCAAATCTGGAAACTGTAGGCCACCTTACAACTATAATAATAGCTGTCACATTGTTGTTTTCCCACTCATTTTCTCATATTTTCTGTGTCTACAAACATTCGGATGATTACTCATTCATTTTGAAACTTGATTTGGTCATAATTTTTTATACAAACAAAAATTTTTGTTTCGTCGTTTTTGAAACATTTCCCGGTTTTTTTTGTCGGACAGGAATAGCCGGGTTTTTCTGGTATAAAAAGATTAGGATTTGGGCGGAAATGAAATAAATATTCTGGAAGTTTCTGCTACTGAAATTGTTAGCTGATCTGGAAAATGTCGATGTTCACTATCAATGAGTAAGTCTTTTGAAAAATATAATGACCTAGAAATCTAAATTTGTAAAATAGTGGCCTAGAAAGCCATTTTCTTGAAATAGTGCCGTGGAAACCCCGATTTGTAAACTTCTAACGACCCAAAAACCCAAATTTGTGAAATTCCAGTTCCTAGTGGCCTAGAAACCCAAATTAGTGATATAGTGGCCTAGAAACCCAAAACTTGAAAAATCTAGTTCATCTAAAATTTTTCAAAAAACCAAAATCTTAAAGTGTGGCCTAAAAACTTCCGATTGGAAATTCTAGGCCATGATCTTCGATTTTTTATTTTAGTTTTCCATTTTTCAATCAATTTCCCTCCTCTCTAAAAGTATCATTTTTTGAAGTAGTCTCAAGAATGGTCAACTAGTTTTTTGATTGCTTTCAGACTATTTTTCTGCTTCTTCTTAATGATCTATACACCAATTTAACGACTTTTCGATTTGTTATATAAAACTGTTTGGACCAAATTTTTCAAACTGCAAAAAATTTCAAGTGGTTTTGATGTTTTGGTTTCCAGTTCCAAAAAAAAACGAAATTTGTTTCTTTCGAATTCTGTTTCAGAAAAAGGGAATTTCTGAAGATTTGAATCCCGATAACATCTTATTGTCACCTCTTCTCTGCGTCTCTTCATCTCACACACTATTTCTCTGGCTTCTTTCTAGTCTTTGTATAACGTAACTCTCTTTTTTCTTCCTCTTCTCGTATACTATAACTGACGCATAATTGGAATTTCCATTTCAAACAGACTGACACATACAAATGGTTTTTTCTCTTTTCTCTCTATTTGTGTCTGCTTTTCGTTTCGTCACAATTAGTTCGAGATTTTATATGAGAATTGATGAGGATGGTGTATGTGTTTGATTCTTTTGGAATCGGTTTTGAGGATCAGAGATTAGTCTGGAAGTTTTGTAGAATGAAATATTGTCAGCAATAGTTATTGGAGTTGACTATAAAGTTGGAACTTGTACAATAAATGACATCCTAACTCTTGACTTTCAGTCAATTTATCTCGATTCCTGTCAAAGATATCAAAAAGTGGTCAACTGACAAAATGTTGGTGATATTATGATAAAAATTGTGTTAGTTGACGATTTCTCGATATCTGTAACAGGAATTAAGGTATATGAGCTCAAAGTTTGCGGTTCGCTGGGGAATTGTATTAAAGTATTTGTTGTATTTTGAGCACCCAACGAAGCAGCATTTGGAATTGGGTAGTTTGTCATTGTGCATTTCTACAAACTTTCAGTGATTTATATTTTCGTAATTTGTAAAAACGTTTTTTTTTCAAAATCAAAAAAAACCAGCAACTTTGAGCTCAATTATCTCGATTCCTGTCAAAGATATAGGAATTTTGTTAACTGATAAAATGTTAGTGAACATATGATTAACATTATTTCAGTTAACAATAATTTTGGTTTCTTTGATAGGAACCGAGATAATTGACCTCATATGACAGAGAAATTTGAGCTCAATGGTTCAAAGTTGACAACTTGAGTGGACTTCTATGAGAGCAAGTACGGTAAGTTTGAGCATTTTCAAGCCAGAGGCATTTCTCAGAAAGTCGAATCTGCATCATAAAATTAGTCGCCAAAAAATTCAAGACTAGTTTTCGTTTTGAAGTTTCTAAACCATCTTAAAATATTTACCAACTTTTTCAAATCCTGAAGCTATGCCATTTCGCGGAGGTTTTGGGAGTCAAACCTACTTGAAACTAATTTGTGTGGCTGATTTTTTATGTTAGTACTTTCTGAAGCTTATCAAGGCTTGTTGACAAAGTAATCAAAAATTGATTTTTTTTTTGAATCTAAATCGATAAAATATGTTAGCTGCAGCTTTGATTGATTCTTAAAAATCTCAAGAAATAGGCATTTTTCAAAACATTATAAAAGTTCAAGTTTACTGATTGTGTGATTTTTTCCGGAAATTCCGTCTGCTTAGTAATCAGTTATTAGCAACATACCGTAATGTCTCTAATAGATTTGCATCCTAACAGTCAACTTTGAGCTAACTTCTCTTAGTTCCCGTAAAGGATACCAAAAAATAGTCAGCTAACGGAAAATCTTCCAAACCGTCGACTTTGAGCCCATACATCTCATTTCCTGTGGAAGATATAGAAAAGTGGTCAACGATCAAACGTTTTTCATAATATTAAACATTGTTTGCCAGTTGAACATTTTCTATTATCTTTTCCAGAAATCGAGTTAAAATTACTCAAAGTTGACAGTTGGGGTGCAAGCTAACAGACTAGATAATCTGCAATAATCTACAGTACACCTCTCGCTTATTCGAAAAATCTGATTAATCTTTCCGCTCCCGAATCAAAGATACCATCTGCTTTCTTCACCTTGTTCTAGATGACCTTCCAAAAAAGTAAAATGCAAATGCGCGAATCTCCTCAAAATGCTTCTTCTTCTTCTTCTCGCTTTCACTCTTCTCCCAACCTCTATTACGTAATCGTCCTCTCCTTCTTCTTTCATCGGGATCAACCAGTTTTTCATTAGTTTTTTCAGTTACTACTTTTGTTTCTTTTCTTCCAAAAAGAATGGAAAAAGGGTAATCTATCCCCGTTGGGTTATTTGATCAATCATTCTGTCTAAACTGTTTCCCTATTCAATTCACCCTCATAAAATAGTCAGCAGTCAGTTACAACTTTTTTCCTTCTTGTCCTTATTGTCATTGTCTATAGGTTTACACCAATTTATGGTTCAAAAGGACATGCGCGCTCCCGAAATTTCTAGATTTTTCCACCTTTTTTAAATCTTCAATTCCTTTTTTGTCATCTTGTGACTGCTAAAATTGAGATTCTGAGATTCTGAGATTCTGAGATTCTGAGATTCTGAGATTCTGAGATTCTGAGATTCTGAGATTCTGAGATTCTGAGATTCTGAGATTCTGAGATTCTGAGATTCTGAGATTCTGAGATTCTGAGATTCTGAGATTCTGAGATTCTGAGATTCTGAGATTCTGAGATTCTGAGATTCTGAGATTCTGAGATTCTGAGATTCTGAGATTCTGAGATTCTGAGATTCTGAGATTCTGAGATTCTGAGATTCTGAGATTCTGAGATTCTGAGATTCTGAGATTCTGAGATTCTGAGATTCTGAGATTCTGAGATTCTGAGATTCTGAGATTCTGAGATTCTGAGATTCTGAGATTCTGAGATTCTGAGATTCTGAGATTCTGAGATTCTGAGATTCTGAGATTCTGAGATTCTGAGATTCTGAGATTCTGAGATTCTGAGATTCTGAGATTCTGAGATTCTGAGATTCTGAGATTCTGAGATTCTGAGATTCTGAGATTCTGAGATTCTGAGATTCTGAGATTCTAAAATTCAGATTTCAGAATCTCAGAAGCGCATAATTTCAGAATCGTAGGATTACAGAATTTCAGAATTTCAGAAGTTCTGATATTCCGAAAATCTGGAATTACTCAAATTTTGGAATTTTTTCTCTAGGGAAGGTTTTTCAGACAACGGTTGAGAATGCGCTCAAAATTTGTACAAAGGTACTTTCGAACATGCTGAATCCGAATCCAAAAAAATTTTCAGCCCGTCCCGTTCTCAAAAGGAGCCGAAATATGGCCTCTGAAAGTGCTTTTAGTACTAAATTTTGGCCAAAAACATGCATTTTTCGAGGTTAAAAATTAGTTTTTCAGGATTTGCTTGAGAAACTCATTTTGCGAAACTCATTTTTGGACATTTTTCTATCTTCTAAAGTAACTTTTAAACATTTTCAAAAAAAATTTTTTTTTTAAAATTTTGAAAAAACACCATGGGGTCCCCCAAACTTCAAAAATGATTTTTTGAAAATTTTTTGAAAAGTGCGAAAAAACGTTCCAATTATTCAGAAACGATAATAAATAGCATTCTGACAAATTTTTTCAGCCCAATATTGTCTTTGGGCTCAGAAAATCTCCAAAATCTGATTGTTGTTAGAACTTTGACAGTTCCTAATTTCTGAAATATCGCTTGAACTTAACTGAAACCTATAGAAATAGGTTGAATCTTGTATGTGATCGATTTGACAGTACTCCACCTTAAAAAGAGCAAAATTGAGCAACTTTCAGAGACTGAAATTTTCGTTTTTAACGATACAAGGATGTAAGAACCGGTCGAAAAGACCATTACCTATTTTTTCCTCAAACTCTCATGAAATCTTTTTTTCTTTGAAAACTTTTGAAATTAATCAAAAAGTGTCATATAGTGCCTAGGGGGGCAAACTTGGAATCAAAAATTAGTTTCAAAAAATGCAAAAAAAAATACCACAGTGGGGGTCGAACCAGCATAGTCAATTCTAATGAGTCACCCTCTTACCACAACACCACACAACCGATATTTTCCTCTCTCGCGGAATTGGTAGAGGAGGGAAGGGGAAGCCGAAATCATCAGCGCACCGAAATCGGCCTAAATTTTCAGACAATGTTTTTCGGCCTGGGAGTGAGAACGGGCTAAAAATTTTTTCGTCATCTTATAGAGCATGTCTCAAACTATATGTATGCAAATTTTGAGCAAATTCTCAACCATTGTCTAAGAAACCTTCCCTTGTAAGAATATGATTTTCGGACCCCCTGAAGGATTTCTTAAACCTCAATGTCAAATAGAAATTTTCAAGAATCAGGTCCTAAAATTCCTCAAAATGTTCATTACACAAATCATACTACGGTTTTGACAAGAGGTTTAAAAATTCTAACATTTTTATCAATACTACAGGTTTCCCGACATTTCTTTTTCCATGGTGTTCTTTTACACAATTTTCTAAATAGGTTTACCAAATTCTTTCTTTTATTTTTCCTCTTACCAGGTGACCATACATGGTCTCTTAACTATATGCCATATAAGGGTGTTTGACCCTGTCATCAGTCACTTTTTCTTTTTTTTTTTCTCGAGGCTTCATCAGACAATGAGTGTTTCAAACAATGATTGATGAGAACAGTTTTTCTTCTTGGCATCGCCTAGTAGAGAAGCTGAGAAAATGAGAGAGAGAAAGAGAGAGAAAGAGAGAGAAAGAGAGAGAGAGAGAGAAAGAGAGAGAGAGAGAGAGAGAGAAAGAGAGAGAGAGAGAGAGAGAGAGAGAGAAAATGGCATGCATAACTATAATTACAATTGGGAAGGAAACAAAAGATTTTCAACTCGTTTGTTTGTGTCCTCTCACTCTCTTTTTGTCATTTCTCTATCTTTTTCAGTTGTCCTTTTGACAGTTATCTATTTTTCAGTATAACCTAGCTTATTGTATTTTTCTACATGATTTTTGCTACATTTTTTGTGGCGTTTTTGAAGATTAGGTCCTTATGTCCCTTTAAACTTGAATTATTTTCAACTCCTCCCTAAAACTCCTCCCAACTCCTCTCCCAAAATAATCATTTTAATTCCATTCCGCATGATTGTCCTTCATACACTCAACCCCTCCTTTCTTTTCTCTCCTCCCCAATGTTGACCTACTCCTCTAGTCTCTCGGCGACTCATAGTTGCACTCTACTCCGTTAGTTTCTCGTCGGAGAGATGGCCGAGCGGTCCAAGGCGCTGGTTTAAGGCACCAGTCCCTTCGGGGGCGTGGGTTCGAATCCCACTCTCTTCAGTTCTTTTTTTTTCCTTTTTGATTATCAGATATCATATGTTGTTCCACTAGTGTGGTTGTGTTGACAGTCACTTTATCTGTGATAACATGTTTTTGACCAGGTCCCTTCTCTAATAATCCTATAATCTGCTGTAACCAAATCGCAGTTAGCATAGTAAACAAAGACTTTTTCAGCAAAATGCGACGACGCTTAGTCGCCATACCATTACTCATATTGGCTGTTACTTTTCAAACAGAAGCCGTCAAGATTATAGATAACGGTCTTGCGCCGCCCGAAATTGTTCATACGCCGGTGTCAACGAAACGTAAGTCTAATTTTTTGTTGTGGTGACTAATTTTTTTGAAAAATCAAGCTTTTTTTCAGCCAGATGCAAAGTTTTCGCACCACCTCTCGATTTGATTTTTATCTTGGATTCTTCTGGATCCTTGAGAGACAAGTTTCAGGATGAAATCGACATTATCAGAAGAATTCTGAAGCATGTGACGATTGGAAAAACTGCAACTAGGGTTATGTTGATTCAGTTCAGGTAAGCTAAGCGGTTGAGTATTTTAAGCTCGATTATTTCGCTTTCTGTCAAAGGTATCAAAAAATTGTCAGCTATTGAGTTGGTCACTTTTTGATATCTTTCTTAGGAATCGAGATAATTGAGCTCAAAGTTAACGGTTTGAATGGCCTTCTATTTGAGTGTTTGAGGCAGTTTGGAAATCAAAGCTTCACTAGGTTGATTTTTTAAACTAAAAGTCTTTAATTGCTGAAATTCGAATTTCCAGTGGAACGCAACACTTGGAATTCAATTTCGAAAAATTCACTGATCGAGAAGAGTTGCTTGCGGCGTTGGACGTTCTTCGTCATGTTTCCGGAATTACGAGAATCGGTGGGGCCTTTGAATTCGCGCTTCAGCAATTGAAGACTCCTGGAAGTGTGAGTAATTTTTTTCTATAAAGGAATTGTACACGTTTAATGGTACTCAACTTTGGAATTCGACAAAAGTACTTCAGAATTTTTTCGATTAGTCTGAAAATTTCAGAGTATACTAAACAAAATTTGGCCTTCAGTTTTAGACAAAGTGATAGTTTTTGAAACACTTTTGTAGGTCTTCAAAGTTGACTACCATTAAAAACCCGTAGGAGGATAACTTCTAACTTTGATCCTGTTTTTCTCGGTCTCTGTTAAAGATATAAAAAATAATCAACTGATAAATTGTTTATCATAATAATATTATTATGACCAATGCTTTATCAATTAACTAATTTTTGCCATCTTGCATAGGTACCGAGATAATTGAGCTCCAAATGCCCATTTAGGTTGAGTGTGCTTTTATTAGAGGAAATACGGTACCTTCAAAAGGACAGTAGAGAGTTCCCGTATACGGTGTTTCATGAAGTTTCGAATATCAAAACATTTTAAGGGTCTTCGTGATGGAACTGTACCAAAAATCGTCTATCTTCTGTCCGACGGTCGTACTCATGACTATCCAAAGGATTGGCAAATGTCTGATGTCTTGAGAAGGTAACCTTTTTAAAGTTCCCCTCATTTCCACACGGTGAGTTTTTCACTACCGGATGCGAAACAGTCTGCGACGTTTTAAAGTACAACGGACAAAAAAATCTGATTCATTTTTTTGCTATATATTCTTCATAAAATTTACTAAAAATTTATGGAACAGAAAAAAAGTTATGGACTAGAATTCGAGAAAAAAAATTCCAAAGTTGAAGCAGCGGCAGTGAAAAACTCACCGTGATTTCCAATTACTCAATTTCAAAAGAGCGCATTTCCAGAGAAATCCCAAATATTGACATCTGGGCTTACGGTACTGGCGACTATGTGGCAATGGCAGCCTTGGCTAATTATACTCAATCGGAGCAGAAAATTGTGACAAATCAGAATTTGCAAAAGCTGGAACCTCAATTTGAAAAGTATCATGGAACGGAGATTTGTGAGCAGCAGCCGAGTGAGTTTTCAAGAAAAAAGGAAATGTTTAAGTTTTTTGATTTCAGCTTGTGTGAAAGGATCAGACAAACCATTGGACCTTGCTCTTGTGGTTGACGCTTCGGAGTCCTTGGATCATCTTTTCAGCGATCAGGTAGATCAAAATTTACAGTCTCACCTAAAAAAGAATTTCTCAGAAAAAATTCCTGGTCGATCGAGTTTTGGGAAACATTAACATCCATCCAGAAGCCGTCCGTGTTGCATTGATAACCTACTCTGGACAAGCATTCGTTCATTTTAAATTCAATTCGTTCTTGTATGGAAATAACACTTCAGTACAGGGATTCGTAAAGAATATTCGATCAATCAAAGGAACAACAGCTACAAATGTGGCATTGATGGATGCATTTGATCTTCTGACTTCAAAAGATCCATCGACTGGAATTAGAGAAGGTGTGCCGAAAATGGCATTGGTTCTTACTGATGGACATTCTCATAGGTTAGTTGAAACTGTCAAAAAATGTGTATGGACATTAAACCTACAGGGTGGCCGATAAGGATAGGACGTTTCTAAACGTCTCCCATTTTTCAGAAAAAACGTGGAAAAGTAAGGGGCAAAAATACCTTAAAACCTGTAATATAAAGTCTAACTTTCAACTTTGAGCCAATATATCTCGCTTCCTATGAATGATATCAAAAATGTGTCAAATGATAAAATATTGCTGACATTAAGATAAATAATTATCAGTTGACAAATTTTTCATGTCTTTTATAACAAATGTTTCATGTCTTTTATAACAAATGTTTCATGTCTTTTATAACAAATTTTTCATGTCTTTTATAAGGAACCTAAAGCTCAAAGTTGACCTCTTTGGATGAGTTTCTGTACTTCTGTATTAGGGGAAATGTGGTAGTCAACTTTGACGCAACACGAAAGTATTTCGTTTTTTCTTCGATTTATTTGAAAATTTCAGAGTATACTAAACGAAAATAAAGCTTTAGTTTTCTAATTGAGACATGCGCTTTTAACAACTGGTTGTCTGCGTCTCGCCTCTCTTGGTAACCAGCATCCCGTTTTTAAAGACCCATAACTCAAAAACTACTATAGCTAGAAAAAAGCTGTCAATTACAAAATTAAAGCTCTAGTTTTGTTTAGTATATTCCATAATTTTCAGACAAATCGAAAATTTTTGGAATACTTTTGTAGGGCTTCAAATTTGACAATCGTATTTCCTCTGAAAGAAGCTCATCCAAACCGCAAACTTTGAGCTCGAAGATCTCGGTTCCTGTAAAAGATATCAAACATTTGACAACTGATAAAATATTGCTGATATTATGATGAATAATTTATAATTTAAAACTTTTGNATATCTTACACAGGAATCGAGATTACTGAGCTTAAAGTTGACGGTTTGGGGGAAGGCTTCTATCAGAGGGAATACGGTCGTCACCTTTGAAGCCCTAAACTTTTAAAGACTACTAAACAAAATTCAAGTTTTATTTTTGTAATTGTTTCTTTTTTTCTAGATACGGTAGTTTTTGAGTTATGCGCCTATTAAGTTTCGTTATCAATCTATTAAAATTCGGTATTTTCCAATCCTGAAATTCTGGAATTTCAACAACACTAGTATTTTTTAATTTCCAGATCTCCTAAAGACATGGCTGAAAAAATGCGTGCAGCCGGAATCATAATGATTGCCGTAAGTGTCACTCCTCGTCCATTGGTGGATGAAGCTGAACTTCGATTGATTGCTGGATCCGAGAAACGTGCATTCACACCACCGAACCTTCATGTAAGTCTAGTCTCAAACTTCTCCCTTTCAATTCCTATACTCGTTTTAGGAATTTGAAAGTGAATTCATGAAATACGTTGGTTTTGGATGCGATGGAATCGAGTTGCCTCCAGATGCAAAACCTCAAGTTAGAGGAGCCACTGATGTGAAATGTACGGAACATTCGATGAGCATTGTGGTCCGGACTCAAAGAGCACTTCAAGGACTGATGTATGCTCATATGTATCATGATGAGCCAGAGTGTATGATGAAGAAGACCGATAATAACAGAGAGATTCAAATGACTTTTATGGAGGGAAAATGTGGTCTGGTGAAGACACCATCAGCGGTAAGTAAGCGTCAACTTTGAGCTCGATTCTCTCGATCTTTATAAGAGATATCAAAAACTTGTCAACTCATAAAATGTTCATCATAATATCACCAATATTTTAGTCGACAACTTTTCAATATCTTTGACAGGAAATGAGATATTTGAGCTTAACGTTGACGGTTTGGGTGGGCTTCATTCAGAGGAAATACGATTGTCAAATTTGAAGCCCTACAAAAGTATTCCAAAAATTTTCGATTTGTCTGAAAATTATGGAATATACTAAACAAAACTAGAGCATAATTTTGTAATTGATAACTTTTTTCCAACTACAGTAGTTTTTGAGTCATGCGCCTTTAAA